ACTGCTTTAACTTTAACAGATTTAATTTTAGCCATGGCAATAACAGATGTGTGAACCAGTGCATTTTCTTTAAGGAAAAACACTTCTTCGCCAAATGTGGACATTTTCCCTTGATTTCTTCACTTAAACGCTGCTATAAGTTTGTATAATATGTGCCGTTGATGGTTTTTTCATTTTGAAGACAATCAATGAGAATTATCCAATGGGCATCCCAAATAACTGACGTCATAACTTTTTCAGCTAATAAAGTTGTTTTTTCCTTCTTTGGAGCTGATTCTCCCCTTTTAGATGCAAAAACTCACCCTTATTTTTGTGAAACATCGACAAACAATTCATCGAAACACCCTCATTACATTGTTTTTGGTCGATTGTGAGTAAATGCTGCATCCATCATGCACACAGCTTTTTATGTCCAAATTTTCAGTCAATATGCGATGTACAGCATTTTTTGATATGTCTTTCATATCAGCTATCGCACTTTCAATCAACGATTGTTTAGTATTATTTTGTAGATTTTCTTAATCATTTTTGGTGTGGTGACCTTATTTGGTTGATCATTGCAGGGTTCATCTTGACAGGTTATACGGCCTCTTTTAAACTCTGCAACCCAATATTTCGCAGTTGCAACTGAAGGAGTGCACTTTTGATATCGGTTGGACTGAGAATATTTTTAGTTGAATGAGGGAGTTCACTTTTAGTTGCAAATGACGGAGTTCACTTTTGATATTGGTTGGGCTGAGAATTAAATAAAAAAATTTAATGATATAACGATGACCAATTTTCTTCATATTAAAAATTTACTGAAAATGTTAACTATTATTGGTCGCTAATCTGAAAAGAAAAAAAAAATTAAATTTTCAGCCATGATTTTTTTTTTTTTTCAAAGTTTTTGTGTTTTCTTTGTTAGGGTAGGTAATTCTGGGACAACCCTAAGACCATGTAAATGTTTTGAATACATAAATTATTAAGTTTACTTATTGCTTTATTTTATTAAGTAACAAATTAATTATAATATTTACAATAAACCTATTTTATTTAAATTATCAAAAAATATTATACAAAATTACATTTATATAAATATGTATTTTTTTATAAATCTTTTCAAACATTTTCTAGGATTAATTTTATAAATACTTTTAATAGCAAAAATTTTTAGCGCAAAAACAAACGTTACATAACAGCTCAAATTTAATAGTGTAATAAAAAGTACTAGTTTTTATAAGCATAAAAATAACTGTTACGTTAAAAATTTAAAAGCTAAAATTTTTGTTTGAAATTTATAAAAACCATCTGACAAAAAATAAAATAAATTCTAAACCAAAAATTTAAATTAACCCTTACCTTTGGAAGTACGTTAAGTTAAGCATACCTATACATTTTATTCTAAAACTCAAAAACTTAAAATTGCATTGCATTTCTGACTTTAGATTACAAATCAATAGTCCACAGCACTCCCGAAAAACAACTTCACATGGTTTTATTATAAACTTTGTTTTATATTTTTACATTGAAAAAGTACCGGTTATATTTTAACTTCCTTAGGTCGCCAATTGACACAATCCCAAGTTAAAAACATTATTGATGAGCTCAAAAATAGTAAGAATAATGATTCTAATAATAAATAACTGATTTCTCATGATTGCATATTTTTGTTCTATTTTTCTAACCTTAAAAAGTTAATTAAAACTTACAATTTGAAATCTAAAATGTTATTTACACTACTTATCGACCTTGTTTTATAGACATTTATGTATATTAGACATTATTTATGTATATTTATATGTAAAAAGTGCTAAAGAACATATAATAAGGCTATATTTAATTAAGGTAAAACACAAGTACTCTATAGAAATGTATTTTAATGTTCTTAGTGTCAATATATTTTCAAAGCAACAAGGTACTTTGTTTGTTTCCTTAAATAATTACTCATAGTTTTACCAAAACTGACAAAAAATTTTCAAAGTGTGAAAAAAATAAAAATGTTATTAGTATATGCCTAATTTATTTTATATAAATATGCTTATAGGATGTTAAAAAGTTTAATTTTATTACCTACATAAATGTTACTGCCTTTTTTTTCAAAAAGTGTCTTATTTAAAAAAGTACTAAATAAAATATTTCTTAAAAAAAAAAAGTTTTTTAGATCAATACTGTATAAATTTTGTGATAGGTATGGTGTCAATCTATATAAGTTATGTAAATAAACTCTTTTGCTTTTCAGAAAAACTTAACTTCAAAGTTCAGACATCACGACAACATAAAAAAATTTTATTTTTTAAATACCTACAACTTTATCTGAAAATTCTGTTTGCTGAGTGGTCAAACCTAAAAAATTGAGCAGAGTCTATAGGTTAATAACTAACTAGCAGTAAGCAACCCGTAACACAGGTAAATACCAGCTTTTACCAGCTACATTAATGGCACCTACTATTTTGTTTGATATGCAATTCACATCACTTTAGCAAACGTTTTAAGCGCAATCTGTTTTAATGACAGAATTTTGACCCCTTAAAATTAAAATTTGAATTCCCAAATGGTTTTCCTAAATGTAAATTAGGTTCTTGATAATTTATTTTCAGTAAATGTTATCAAAATGATTTTGAACAAGTTATTTGATTAAACTTTTATAATTACATAAGATAATTTAACAGTTCAACAAATTGTTTTACTTTCTACATTTCTTCTACAATTCAACAAAAGTTAGACTTTCCACATTAACATAAACCTGTTTAGACTAAATTGAATTTAAATATTTATTTAATTACAGTTAATTTCAAACTACTTTAAAATAGAAAAGCCTAGAAAATGACGTAAGTTGACCATTAACTACTACTATTAAATTAGCGTATTAATATTATCTGATTTCTATGTTTTATAATAAATTATAAAAAATTGAGGTATTTTATTAACGTAGCCTTGTGTTCAATTTTAATTTTTATTTTGTATAAAAAAATTAAGAGTTCAAAAAGTTTATATACATTACTGAATTTATTAATAATTTTGGAACAACTAAAATGATTAAAAAATAAATGTGCATAAAATATGGGTATATATATATATATATATATATATATATATATATATATATATATATATATATATATATATATATATATATATATATATATATATATACATACATATATATACACACACAGGCCTTGGCAGGAGTAAAATAAGAGGTGAAATTGCTGTTTATAATATAATATAATAGTGCTGAACACTTAAAGAGTGATGAGTCAAACTACGTAAAGTTAGTAGCAGCTGTAACACAAACATACAAACATAATTAAAGTTAGTATTTTTCGCTCATCATTAAAATAATTAATAGCTTAATGTACACCCATATCTATGGTTTTCCTGCCAACAAATACAGTTGTTGGTAAATTTTTGTAAATAATACAAAGTATGATATTTTCAACTGTTACAACTTATCAGCTTATTTATCTGTCTGAGTTATGTTTGTGACTTCAAAGTATGGTATTTAGATAGCTAAAGACAGCAAAACCACCTTAGTAAATATTTAGATTAAAATAAGACATATATTATGAGAGGAAAATAAAGAATAACTTCTGTTCATGATAATTATGGATGTTGTTATGGGCTCTGATGCTACCTAAGAGTGTTTTAAGGTGTAAATATGGACCAAGAAATATTTTTTATTTCCAATGTTAATTGCATGAAAATAGACATATCAAAGGGTGAAATTCCACCATAAAAAACTAATTTTAAAGTAATAAAAACTTTTAATTAATAAATATTTTTAAAAAAATAAAAAAATTTTAAAATAAAAATAATATTAAAATAAAAAAAAGTTTTTATTCAATCATTATTTGCATTCCTACTACCTTAAAACATTTAAAAAATTGCACTCAAATAGCTCCTAGCAACCAAATTTATAGGTGTATTTATTATTTTACGATGAATTTGTATTTTGCATACATCAGTTAAAAATATAACTATAAAAGTATTGTGTATTAAAAAGTATATACTTTATTTTTTTAAGTTTTTTAATTAAAAATCTAAAATTAAAAACTTAAATAGTTTTTTAAAAACTATTCAAACTTGATAGTTGTCTGTTGTTGTTGTTGTTGTTTTGCAGTTTTTTTAAATATGGTTTAAATAAAAATAATATTTAGACAATAAAAGTTTTTTTTTTGTTTAAACATTTCAAATGTTTAGACAAAAAAAAAATTTTCAATAACAATGTTTTTTACCTTGCCCACAAATATTTAATAATGAATAATAATGAGATGCTCACAAATATATAATAATGAATAAACATTTTTTTTTGCTTTTTTAATATTGCATAATTATGTAATACTTATTAACGTGTTATTTTATTTTAAATGCAATAGATGTTTTTTACTATTTCTGTTTATGTAAGTAAAATACAACATACCTTAAAAAACAATAAAAAAGTTTGTCGTTTAAAAAAAAATTGTATTTTGCACTGGCTTTATTTCCAATGTAAACTGGCTTTTACGAGTGTGGAGGCAGTCGCTGGCGATTGCCTGCTTATGTTGAGGCTTGTATAAATGTGTGTGTGTTTAAAGTACAATCAAAAAAACAGCAGGGTGTTTTTTAATTTTTTCTTCTTACCACCCTGCCACCCTGCTTATCTTAACAAGTCTTTTTCATCCAGTACAAGTTTTTCTAAAAATATTATAGACTTTTTTTGTGTAGATAAGTGAGGGATTATAAACTCCTTTAGTTTAAAAAAATCTAAAGGTCAGTTTATATTCCTAAGAGAATGCCAATTGTAAAAGTTTAAAATCTAAAATGAAGGGTTGTTAAACAATCAAAAAAGATTGGTTTATTTAATTAGCTAATGTAAAGTTTCAGTTTTAGATAAATTTCATTTTTGTGTACCAATTTTAAAAGTGAAGCAGTTTTCTCTGTCTGTTATTAATATCACAGGTTACATATAACAGACTGATGATTACATATAACAGACTGATGATTACATATAACAGATTGATGATAAATCTTTTTTTTAGAGGAAGAACAAGTTGAATCACTGGCTGAAAAAACAAGGAAACCTGCAAAAAGCTTTTCTGCACCCATTGAACCAGATGACAAAAAGGATACTATTAATATAATTTTTATTGGGCATGTTGGTAAGTCGTCATTGTTTTTAAATTTATTGTACTTAGATTTTAGTTGTTTATTAATAGTTGATACTTAACATAAATGCATATATATTTAACAATGGTTACATGTTTTGTGTTTCTTAATTATATTTATCATCAGTTATTGCTACTGTGTCATTACTAAGCCCGTTATTACTTTTATGGTGTCAATTATCATGCTAACTGTGATATAATTGCAATTTCTGTTACCATGTTACTCTATTATCTAAAATAAACAAGTACAACATCAATATCATATCTAGCATATAAACAAAGAGAACACCTGATAATGGCATTAATATTTAATACTTCATAAAAAATGATTTTTTGTAAAAATTAATAAAATAAATCTTCATAAATGTTGGAAAAAACTTGTTGTTGATTCTAAAAAAAAATTATTTATCAAGGAAAGCATCATTTAAAAAAGACAAACTAAAATAAGTTTGAATGTGAGAATTTCATTGTGTGAACACTTTTCCACTGTGTGAATACTCTACCACTGTTAAATATTCTTCAGCAGTGCTCTGTGATAAGACCTTACTGTAAATGTCATCCTTTTAATCTTCTATAAATGTTGAATAGTTGAATTTTGTGAACTTTCAAACAAATGAAAAATCTATTTTTGATAAATAATAAATCTATATAATTTTTAGTTGTTATGAATTATTTATTTTGATTTTTTTTTTTTTTTTTTTGTTAAATCATAACACAAATTTTGCTTATATAAAAACCCAAATATATTTTAGTAGATCTTTTCATGGTAATGACAAAATCTATTATAGACGCTATCTTTGTCTAATTTTCTTTCCTCATACTTTAACCCTTTGAAGCTCTGTCCGGTCTTCATGTTTTCCTGACTCATACAACCTACAACCTTTTGAACAATTTTTCAATTCTTCTATCAATGGTCTCTTTGTTTGTTTCCTATTCTTTGTTTTCTAGTAACTCCCAACTTAATAGTGGCTGCTTGCAGCCTTGTTGGTTAGAATAATTTAAAGTTGTTTAAGTTATAATAAGTTAGTCTGTTAGAGTGAAATTTTTTTTTTTTTTTTTTGATAAGGTTTAACAAACTAAGAAAGTTTTTTTTTAGTTTTATACACATTCATTTACATTGTTTTTAAATTTTTGCTGATATACGTGTTTTTCTTTTTTAAGATGCTGGAAAGTCAACTATTGGTGGCCAGTTATTGTATGTATAATGATGCTTACAAATATTTTTTGTTTTTTTTACAATTTTTTTATGTTATCAGTATGTTGGGTCTCAAATGAAGCGAAATTATATGAAAATTTCAAAAATGATAACTATATTATAAAAACTTTTAAAATTATTAAAAAAAAAAAATTAAATAAAAATTAGTAAATATGCAGTTTTTTTCTTTTTAGTTAATAAACTTTATTTTTTATGCTGTTAAATCTAACATATTTATTTTTATGAAATACAGTTATTATTTTTTTTTAATTTTTACATCATTTTGCTTCATTTAAGACTCAACATGATATTATTCACTTTTGAATAATTTTTTTTTGATATTATCAGAAATTTGTTATTTGTTCAAGGGTGGGACCCCCAAAAATATTTTTTATTCAAAAAACCTTTTTAAAAACCATTATTTTAAAAACCAGTATTTTTTTATCATATAGAACTCATTAAGGGAATGGCAGCATGTATTTTTCGAAAATGTTGTTTTTTTGGGACACCCTAATATCTATCTATCTATCTATCTATCTATATATATATATATATATATATATATATATATATATATATTATATATATATATATATATATATATATATATATATATATATATATATATATATATATATATATATACATATATATATATATTTATGCACAGGCCTCAGCAGAAATGACAGGCGATCACCAGCGCCTGCCTCCACTCATGTATGTCAGTTTACACTAGTAAAATATAGCTCGTGTAAATATAGAGTTATTTTAAATTATTTTAAACAGCAAAATTTAATGTTTTTTAAGTTGAGTTGTATTTTACTTACATAAATAAAAATAGTAAAAATATCTAGCGCATTGAAAATAAAATATTGCCTTCATAAGTATTACTTAATTACACATGATTAAAATAGCAAAAAAAATACTTATTCATTGTTACATTTTTTTGAGCTTTTTAACGGTAAAAATATTTTAACATAATTATTTTAAAATAAACTTGATAAGTTTGAATATCAAGTATTTGGGTTGGGTTAATTTAATTCAAGGAGTGTTGCTACACTGCAAGATGTTGAACATACAAGGACTGTTGCTACACTGACTGACAAATAGGTAGAATATGCAAGGAAAGCTGCTACATCGACTTATGGTTTAGTTTGGGCAAGCAGTCTATCAATTGAAAAAATTATTTATTCCAATTTTTTTTTTAATTTTTGTACAAATTTAAAAAAAAAAAATATCAAGTTTACAAGTGAACATTTTGTGTAATTTATTTTATATAATATATAAAATATATAATTCATTTCAAAATATAAAAATTGTGATATTACACAGTCTGACCAAGGGTTTTAAGGAGAAAAAATCTTTCTAACATATGTATGTTTGAAATAAAAAAAAAAATTTCTTTCGTTTTTATATTACTAATTTTGTTATAACTTTATTTATAATTATGTACTATTTATTTTTGCATTTATAATACTAAAATTCTACTTTACCAAAAACAAAGAAATTGTTGTATAAAATAAACTATTTTATAAAGCTATTTGAATAGATAAAATATAATCTCATGTACTACAAAAAATTTCAGTAATGTTGAGCAAATAAACTAAACATTGAGCAAAAAAGTGAATCTGAAACTCGAATTTTGACTTTTTGTATACAATATAGTTTGCACAAAAAGTTTTGATTTTTCTAACTAATATTTAAATGCAGAGAAAAAAAGAAAGTGGTTTTACACTCATTACAAATACTTTTGCAAAAGTCATAAATTGTTCCTGTAAACTATTTTAGGGTGTGTACAAGAGCAATTGCTAAAGCTCTTGTTTCCTGCCAAGGCCTGAAGTTGGCTTTTTATTAGTCTTCACAGTGTTCGCCATTTGGACACTTGGTTAACTTGTGTCAATTAGGTGTCAGCAGGTGCTTCAACACTTCACAAGGTGTCAACAGTTACATTCCCCCAGGTGTTCACATGTTTATACCCACTTAGTGTTGCCATCTGGCAGACACCAGTCTGTGTAAAATATTCTAAACACGGAAATATCTTTTAACATCAAGTGTCTAACCCTCTTGATGTTAAAAGAGTTCCGCCAACCAGATGAACCACTTAGTCACAAAGTAGTTTAAAAAAAAAATTTTACAATATTGAAAATCAGGACTAATTTTTCAAGTAAAAACATTTTTCATCGTTTCATTGCTATTCATAACAAATGAGTTTATTCTTACTTACTCAAGAATTTTTTTCTGTCAAGATTTTGAATAATAATTTATACTAAAAAATCTTTTTCAAATATAAAACTACTAGAAAAAGTTATAACTAATATATTTTTAAAAAAGAAAAGATTTTATTGATACAATTTATAAATAAATTAAATAATTCGCCAGTATTCTGTTTATAAATTATATTACTTATTTAAATAAATAAGATTTTAGTAAAAAAGTTATTTATTTTTTCTAAATTATATAGTATATTTGTTTTTAAAGTAATTTCTTATGCTTTTAAGAATATAGTTATTGTTATTCTTTAGTTTGAGTGTTTTATTTTTTTAAGGTTTCTTACTGGCCAAGTAGATAAGCGAACTTTGGAAAAATATGAGCGTGAAGCAAAGGAAAAAAATAGAGAAACATGGTATTGTATTAATTATGTTACCTGTTTATTTATAAAATAAAAAAAATTAACATTTATATGTTGCCACAAAATTATGTTATAGTATGATAACCCATACTGTATATACACATACATGTATATATACATGTATTATACATGTATATATACACACACATGTATATATATATTGTATATATTCTACTTCATCAGAATCCCCCTATCATCGTACCACATACAACTACCTTAAAGCTGACTGGGACTCTTTCCGTGATTTTCTTTCCGTGATTTGGAGAATCTTTAACAGTATCAATAATAAGGGCAAATCTGTTATTCCTTCTCTCTTGTATGGTTCAGACTTTGTCACCTCACCTAAAGACAAAGCTGAATTGTTTGCTAAGAACTTTTCATCAATATCATCTCTTGATTCCACTAGTTGCGTTTTACCTGACATAGCCGTCAAACAGATTAATCCCTTGCTTGACATTCGCATCACTTCAGCTTCTGTATCTAAAGTAATTTCCTGCTTAGACTCTTCAACAGCTTGTGGTCCTGACAACATTCCTGTTGTAGTCTTGCAGAGGTGTTCTCCGGAGTTTTCATCCATACTTTCTAAACTATTTAACAAGTGCTTATCAGAGTCTTGTTTTCCATCATGCTGGAAAGCAGCATCTGTTATCCCTATTTTCAAAAAATTCCGGAGAGCGATCTGATTCATCTAACTACCGTCCCATTAGTCTTCTTCCTGTCATAAGCAAGGTTTTTGAATCTTTAATCAACAAACACTTAATCTCTCATCTTGAATCAAATAACTTACTTTCTGATCATCAATATGGATTTCGGTCTTCTCGTTCTACAGCTGATGTGCTAACAGTAATAACCGATAGGTTTTACCGTGCATTAGATAGAGGTGGAGAGGTTAAGGCTATCGCACTTGACATTTCTAAAGCTTTTGATAAAGTTTGGCATGCTGGTCTTCTCCATAAGCTTTCTTTTTATGGTGTAGCTGGTAACGTCTTTAAGATTATTGAGTCCTTTCTTTCCAATCGTAGTATAAAAGTTGTCCTCGATGGACAACACTCTTCTTCACATCCTGTAACTTCAGGGGTTCCTCAAGGTTCAATCCTTGGCCCTATACTCTTTTTAATTTACATTAACGATCTTCCAGATATTCTCACATCTAAGGTGGCATTATTCGCTGATGACACTACCATTTACTCTTGTCATGATAAGAAGCCTACACTCTCTGATTGCTTGGAGGGGGTATCTGAGCTTGAAAAGGATCTCACTTCTGCTACAGCATGGGGCTCACAGTGGCTGGTGAACTTTAATTCAGATAAAACTCAATTTTATTCGGCCAATCGTTATCGTAATAATTTGGATCTTCCTATATTTATGAATGGTAATGTACTAGATGAGTCATCTACCATTCATCTTCTAGGATTAACTCTTACTTCTGATCTTTTTTTTAAACCGTATATCAAATCCATTGCAAAATTAGCATCTGCTAAGGTTGCATCTCTTTATCGAGCTCGACACTTTCTTACTCCAGATTCTATTCTCTATCTCTATAAATCTCAAATCCGTCCCTGTATGGAATACTGTTGCCACATCTGGGGCGGATCTTCTAATGATGCTCTTTCTCTTTTAGACAAGGTGCAAAAACGAATTGTAAACATAGTTGGACCTGCTCTGGCAGCCAATCTCCAACCTTTGTCACATCGTCGTAATGTTGCATCTCTTTCTCTTTTCTACAAATACTATAATGGGCACTGCTCTAAAGAGCTAGCGTCCCTTGTGCCATCTACTAAAATTCACTCTCGTGTTACTCGCCATTCAATTAAGTCTCATCCTTTTTCTGTGACTGTTCCTAAGTGCTTCAAAAACTCTTATTCTTCTAGTTTTTTTCCTCGAACATCAGTTCTTTGGAATTCGCTTCCTTCATCTTGCTTTCCTGATTCATATAATTTGCAATCTTTTAAGTCATCAGTCAATCGTTATCTTGCTCTACAGATTTAGTCTTTTCTCTTCCAGTAACTTCCAACTCTTATAATGGTTGCTTGCAGCCTTGTTGGAAGTGAAGATGTTAAAAAAAAAAAAAAAAAAAAATATACATTCATATATAATATAATAACAATTTGGTTGAAGGTTATGGTTTAGATTATGGTTTTTTATCTAAAAAACTTTTTAAAACTAAAAATGGGTAACAATACTCAACATGTTGATAAATAGCAGTCCGTGCATCAATCACTTATACAAGATTTGCGTAAAATGTGTATAAAAGGTGTTTTTAGTATGATCAATTATTAAATTATGATCGTTTTTAGTTTTCTATACAACTAAAGAGAAAGAGTTATATCAAGTTAAATAAATTCAGTTTTGAACTTTTTTTTAATTATCAACTTTAAAAAAAAAGTTTTATATATACAGAAAAAACAATATATTTTGTCTTCTTTTTAAAATTACTAAAATAAAATAATTCTATAATAAAATTAACTTTAAAAAATTTTAAAAGGGGCGAGTATTATTATCTGTTGCATTAATTGATATTTATCAGCAGTTCAGATATTAGTATCTATTTTTACTTTTAAAAAACTTTTTTTAAATTAAAAAACTAAAAATTTTACAATAATTTTAACCAGATAGTTATCCATAAGCAATTATGTTGTGAAACAATTTGGTATAATAGCGATTTTATTACAAATATTTTTTGTTTTGTTTTTAATAATAAAATAATTTGAAAATTTTTTTTTAATTAATATTTATTAAAACACTTGTTTCATTTTTCTATTTAGTATACATCTATATAGTAATCATAGTTTATCAGTATTGTTTTACAATTTTTTAGTAAAAGACAGTAAAATTACAAAAAAGAGACAGTCTTTTTTTTTTTTGTTTTAGCGTACCAGAAGACTAAGTTTTGGGTTTTAATATAGTTTATTTAAGCTGGAATAATTGAACACAAAATCAACAAAAAATTTTGAAATATTTTTATCAAGAATGAAAGTATAAAAAATGTACCCTATGTCAAAAGTGATAAATGACCAAAATTCAGCTAAGAATTTTGGTTGATCAAAATTTCGATACCGAAAATTTCAGTTTCAGTTCTTTTTATAAATTTAGTAAGAAAAAAAAATTCAGTTGAAAATATACAGAAAAACTGAAATTGTAACTTTGTATAATTTTACCATTTCTAAATGAAATTTTCTATTGTTCACAGATTACTTAACTTTTACTTTGTAAATAGCGCATATAGCATTACTTTGTAAATAGTGCATATAGCATTACTTTGTAAATAGCGCATACAGCATTACTTTGTAAATAGTGCATATAGCATTACTTTGTAAATAGCGCATATAGCATTACTTTGTAAATAGTGCATATAGCATTACTTTGTAAATAGCGCATATAGCATTACTTTGTAAATAGTGCATATAGCATTACTTTGTAAATAGCGCATATAGTATTACTTTGTAAATAGTGCATATAGCATTACTTTGTAAATAGCGCATATAGCATTACTTTGTAAATAGTGCATATAGCATTACTTTGCAAATAGCGCATATAGCATTACTTTGTAAATAGCGCATATAGCATTACTTTGTATATAGCGCATAAATAGTGCATTCAAAAATAACAGTTTTTAAAAAGTTGCTTTTTCTTTTCTGCTCTGAATTTGTTCTATGTAATTAAATAACACTAAATTTACAAAATTTTTAGACAAAAAATATTTTTTGTTGGTTCCCCAAGACCCTTGAACATTTAAAGGGTCCCTAATATAGCTCTAAAAAATAAAAAAGTTCTTCAAAATTCGATCAACTTGGTACTCACTAGAAGTGATATTATATAAAAATTTTAAAAATAAAAGTTGTTTTGTATAAAAAATTTAAAATTGTTTTTATAAAAAATTTTGATTTTAAACTAAACATGAAAAAAAAACTTTATATATATTTTTTTCTGTAATATGTTTTTTTTTACAAAGCAAATATGATTTTTTAAACTTTAATATAAGTTCGTTTTTTGTTTTTTTTTTTTGAGTTACAGGTTGACCTACTTTTAAAGGACTTTTTTTTACATATATATTAGGGACCCTTTAAATGTTCAAGGGTCTTGAGGCACCTCTAAAAATATTTTCTGCTCAAAAAAAATTTAACTAATGTTATTTTATTCTAAAGAACACATTTAGAACTCAGAAAAAGCAATTTTTAAAAACTGTTGTTTTTTGATGCACCCTAGCGCATATTCGTTTGCTTCTTAAAAATATTTAAACCGCATCATTGTAGTGAACAATATTTTCAATCTAACATTAAAACATTTTTATAATAAAAAATTGGTTTAAATAGTTTAAATAGAAAGTGAACAAAAATTTTGTGAATATTTTTGTTATCTTAAAGCTTTTAGTTATTTTTATAGGTTTTTCTATGGGTAATTTTTTTTCTTATTATTTATTTATGACTATTATTTTATTAATATATGAGATGAAAAGAAGTCGTCAAAAAAATAAAAAACTAATGTTTTAAATAAACAATTGTAAAACTACATTTTTAGATAAAACTTTCTTATGAAATTAGTTTTGTTTAGCTGAAATTTCAATATTAATTTTGGTAAAATGTTTGACTAAATGTTGGTTTTAGTATTGAACTAGTATACCTAGAATTTTGGTTTATTTTGATTTGGGTTTCTTGTTTTAATTAACTAGTCAAAAGTTAAGAGTCAAAAGTAAAGTTTTAATTAATGAAATCTCAGAATCATCTTCAAAAAACTCAGAATCATTTCCAGAATCATTTCAAAATCATCTTTATTTTGTTAACTATAACAATTTTTTTTTTTAATTTTTAAAAAAGTTTTAAAATTTTTAAAAATCTTTATTTGATTTATTTTTGTTAAAAATTTATTTGATTTGATTTACATCATAATTTTTTTTTATAGGTATTTGTCATGGGCATTAGACACAAACATAGAAGAAAGAAATAAGGTGATATATGGTTTTGTTTTTTACTGAATACTTTCAAAAAACAAAACTTATGAAAATGAAAATCTTTTTTTGCATATCAGGTGTTCGGCCATTATATTGTTTAGCAAATTATAAAATAAAGAAAAAGAAAAAAAAAAACTGTGACCCCCTTAAGATCATCAATGGATCAGGGGTTGAATTTTGTGAATGTTTTTGTTATCTTGAAGCTTTTAATTATTTTTATAGGCTTTTCTATTATTTAGTTAACAAAACAAAATCTGAAAATTTAATTAATGAATTATTTTTTTGACTTGGTTTTGTTCCACATCTTATATTCTTTTAAATACCAGTGGTTGCGTGATCTGTTTGTTTACAATTTTTTTGTTTTTTATCGTAATAGTCTTGAACATATCAAGTATCAAAATCTTATGCTGACATTCATTTTACAGAAAATATTTTAATTTCAAATAAATAAATAGTATAATTTGAAAATAAATAAAACTCTGGAATGTTGATTCTATTTTGTTTAAAAGTATTTTGATAAAGTTTTGTTTATTGAATTTGATAAAGTTTCGTTTTAAGATTGCACAAACTTAAAAAGCTTTTTTGTTAAAAAGGATTGAAAGACGAGGAGAGAAAACTCTAAAGCTAATTTATTGAAAAAAAGCTGAAAATAACAACCACTGTGGAAAGTTTTGATTTACTTGAATGAGCAGTCATATGCTAATGAATTTTGGAGGAACAAGAAATATTGGTTTGCTTAAGCAGCAGCGACCACATGGTAGTTGACTGAGTACAGATTAAGTGGTTTTTAGCACTACTCTTCTTTGAATTAGTTAAAAAAATGCTTTGTAATATATTGAATGGATTAACAGAAGGTGCCATTTAATTTGCCATTTACATATATAAGTCTGCAGAATTAAATAAAAATATATATTTTCAATTGCAACATTTTTATCAGAATTAATGATTCTGATAAAAATGTTGCAATTGAAAAAAGCTTTTCCTTAATAACCATTCTCAATGACCATCTTTATAAGCATTTTCAGTTACCACCTTTTTAGCTATTCATGATAACCATTGTTATAACCATTCTCAATAACCGCCTTTATAACCATTCTCATTAACCACAATTATAACCTTTCTCACTAAGCACAAGTTTCCAAAATATTTATTTTTATACTTTTTTATATTAATTTACACTTTTTTTGTCTTAATAAATTTTAAATTTTAATATAATTTAAATTTATCTAGGTTTATATCAGGGGTGTGGAGTTGTAAAAAAAAAGTAACGACTCCAACTCCGACTCCAGTTGTTGGAATTTTTTTAATACAACTCCGACTCCAGTTGTTAAAATTTTTTGAGTGCAACTCTGACTCCAAATCTGACTACAACTCCAGAGCAAAAAAAAGTTTTCCAAAACGTTTGAAAAACTTTTTGAATTCTTTAAAAAAATATTACGCAATATGTTAAAAAGTTTTTTTGACAAATTTATGAAACATTTTTTGAGGTTTAGTATAAACATAAGGTTGATTGAATGTTTTGTACATGCACGTGCAATACGTAGAAGTTTTACTATAGGAGTTGGAGTCGCGATTTTGTTTAGTGACTCTGACTCTGCTAAAAATGTAGTAACTCCAACTCCACAGCCCTGGTTTATATAATTAAAAATTAGTTCCAATGTAAAAATGTGAAATGTAAAAAAATGGATTCTAATGTGAAAAGCAGATGGAACAATTCTAGATATAAACTCAATAATAAAAAATCAAAATCTAAAACTACAAATAGTATTTAGTATTGATTTCTAAATTAGTGTATTATTGAAATTGTGCGTTGCTTATTATTTGTATTTTGGAATATTTAAATCACTTATTAGTGACAATATTTTAGTGACGTCTTAACTTATGTTGATTTGATATAGTGTATAATTTCAGTGATGTCTTAACTTATGTTGATTCGATTGTTGTATGTCAGAAATTTGGATTGATTTGCATTTTTATTATTATGAAACTTTATTACTAAAACTCTTCATGAGTTTTTAATTACAAAATCTTTGATTTTGTAATTTAAAACTTTGCCACATTAAGTTAAAAATTGATATTCTTTGTATTAATAAATTTTTCATTTGTATAAACTTGACTTGTTACTTGGAAATGATATACAGTGAAACACCCCATGTATAAACCTCATAAGTCTATACTTCTCTCAAAATGAAGTTCATGCATTTCACAGCTGAATGTCTGTACCTCCTAAAATATGACATTTAACAGTAATAGTAAACAGTTTTTCATTATGTACAGAAAATATTGGTTTTATTTTTTTATACCGAAAAACATTTTAAACAAAAATAATGATAACCATTATAAAATGATAACTAATTATTTGTATAAATTTTAAGGGAAAAACAGTTGAGTGTGGACGTGCTTCATTTGATACTGAGTCTAAACATTTTGTACTTCTTGATGCTCCTGGCCACAAAAGTTTTGTTCCAAACATGATTGGTGGTGCTGCCCAAGCTGATGTAGCAGTTCTTGTTATTTCTGCTAGAAAAGGGGAGTTCGAAACTGGTTTTGAAAGGGGTGGCCAAACTCGGTAAGATTATTTTATTTTTTATTTTTATATTATCAGAAGACAAAAATTTGAAGTTAAAAAAAAATGTATTTTTAGTGAACATGCTATGTTGGCTAAAACATGTGGTGTAAGATTTTTGATAGTTCTCATAAATAAAATGGACGATTTGACTGTGAAGTGGGATAAAGAAAGATATAACGAAATTGTGTCCAAACTAACACCTTTTCTAAAGAAAACTGGGTTCAAAGCCTCAGGTAAATGTATGTATATATGTTAGTGTTATCCCCTCAATTTTTTTTTACCACATTAACTATAATTATAAATTTGTAGTTTTAATGATCATTTGCTACCATATTTTTTTTTTCTTCCTAAAAAACTGTTTTTAGAAATTCCTTATGTACTTTAAGTGAAGGTTTTTTAAAATATCAAAAAACTTGAAAAATTGATAAATGCTTAAAATAGTATAATTTTACTGTTTAACAATTTTCATTTTTGTGTTTTGATGTGGTCATAAGAAGTTTTTGTAAGATAATATTAATCATACATAACATTTACATAATATTAATCATACATAACATTTACATAATATTAATCATACATAACATTTACATATCAAAATAATTTTTTTTTTTTTGCCATAATAAATGTCCTTTGTAACAAAGAACACATATCTGTTCACTTATTATTGTGTGGCAAGTAGAATATTTTAATCAAAAAGTTTTATAGTTTTATAGTGCATAAAAGTTTAGATCCATTTTTAAATATTGGAATAACACAAGATAGTTTCAAAATATTAGGAAATGTTCCATTTATGAATGAGGTATTAAATAGTTTAGAAAGAATATTTGAAAATTTATATTTAAAATCTATGAGAATGTTGATGGGGATTCTGCTTGGGACCTGATAATTTTGGGTTCAATTTAGATTTATGAGACGAAATTTCAGAAATATTTTTTGGAGATAAGAGTAGACTATTTTTTGGAGATAAGAGTAGACTATTTTTTGGAGATAAGAGTAGACTATTTTTTGGAGATAAGAGTAGACTATTTTTTGGAGATAAGAGTAGACTATTTAAGTTTGGATTCTTAATAATATTAGATAATATTATATAAATAAAATTTATGCAATATTTGTAAAAAAAGTCTCAAGAGGTTTGGTTCAGTTTTATATTTTATTGATTTATAAACATTTGGGAGATACCAGTGGTTGCTGTTAATAAATTTTTGACATTTATTAGATTATTAATGCCTTTTCAAGTTAAGTGAAAATTTTTTGTATTTCCTTAAAAGAAATTTTTTTTTTTTAATTAATTTAAATTAAATTAGATCAACATTTGAAGCTTTTGATTTTTTTTTAATTGGGGCATAGCAATCTAAAATCCTTGTTTCAGAAATAAATATTTTCTAACCAAAGTTAGTGTCACTGAAGTTGTCAAGTTTAAATGAATAATTTTATTAGTAATTAATATTGCAAAAGTTAATTTAATTACTGTCAATATTTTTGTCAATCATAGACGCTATTTTAAATTTCAACAAATGTAAATTCTAAGTTTCAAAAAATGTAGAGATTGTATTTCAACAACTGTAGAGATAACAGTAGATTTTAAATTTCAACAAATAAAAATGAATATATCAGCAAATCCTCTCTTTTTTTTTAGATTAGTTTTTTTTGGTAAAAATAATAAGTGGTGCTACCATAAGAATATTCAGTTGTGTGCTCAATGCTAAAAGAATTTGATGAACAGAAGGTGTTCTTCTTTTTAATAATCTTTCAGTTATATCAAAATTCAAAACTAAATATAATAGAAATATGTCTGGTGCATTTACTAGTATAGTTTACAATGTTGCCTGCAATCCCAACTAGCACACATTACTAAATTCAAAACTAATTAATAATAGTAATATGTTTAAATTCTTGATGTTTTTTTGTAATGGTGATATTTTTTTTTTGTATGGTGATATGTTTTTTTTTTGTAATAGTGATTTTTTTTTTTTTTTTTTTTTTTTTATGTTATGGTTAAATTGTTTGTAATGAAAAATTGAATGTTTAGAAGAAAAATAGAGAATTTTTTGTTAAAGTTTAATGATTTACTCATGTTTACCAATTTTCTCATAATGTTTACTAATTTCCTCATGTTTACCGATTTTCTCATAATGTTTACTAATTTCCTCATAATGTTTACCAATAATATCAGGTGATGCATAGATTTCTTCATTAAAATTTATAACATGAGATAAATTAATTTGAGTAGAAACTTTATTTAGATTTAAAGATAGTAGACAGTAAATTTTAAGTTATAAGAATTTTGACGAGAGTATTAAATTAGATTTGTTATACCATACATCTGTCAATACATTTACATTTTACACATAGCTGTAATTTAACTTTGTTAAATTTAACTTTGTTAAATTGTACTTGGTATCATCAATGGATTAATATCATTAGATTTTGTATGAGTCCAAAACAAGCAAATGTCTTATTGGATTGAGTGACAACTTAGACTAATTTTTTTTATATACCCCTGAAAAATTAAAACCTTAGTAGAACTCATAAAAATAAGTAAACAACTTTGTAATATTTTGGAGGAATTTAAAAATAATAATTAAGAAATAAATAGCTACAATAATAACATTTATGTAAAGCAAATAATATAAAAAGTTAAATTAGGATATTAGCAATAGCAACAACCAATCAAAATAACAATTATAATAATAAGTAATAATAAAAATAAGTGAATTAATCATCCTCTTGTATAGTAACTATGCAAAGAATTGCATAGTTACTATACAAGAGGTACAAATTCTATGCTTTGAATCAAAAAAGTGTATTTATAATCCTATTTATTAATCCATTTTATTTTTATTACTATTGTTATTTAACTTATTTAAGATAAACTTCGGTCTTTTTAAAAAAATTTAATCTAAAATTGTAGAATAATTCGGTCTTTTTAAAAAAATTTAATCTAAAACAGTAGGATAAAAATTTTTTATAGTTAAAATTGCATATAAACAAATAAAACTTACTAATTAAACTTTATTTGTAAAAATTTTATCATATTGTTATCGGACATAAATTATTTTTTTTTAAATTTAATGTTAATGATTTTTTTTTTAATAAAACAATTAACAATACAAAAGCTGAGTTAATTCTATGATATACAGTTCATATTGCATAACGAATACAACAATAAATTTTTTTTCTTGTACTTTTCCCCTTTTTTTTTTCTTGTACTTTTCATATAAAATTTTGATTAATTTGCAAGTACTAAAAAAAAGATTTAAATGCTGCTGAATGCAGATTAGAGTGTGTATTTGCAAAATTTTATCTGCAATTCATTTGCAGATTAAAATGCAATCATTATATCTTTTAAATTTTATGTTAATTTTATCATTGTTATATATATATATATATATATATATATATATATATATATATATATATATATATATATATATATATATATATATATATATATATATATATATATATATATATATATATATATATATATATATAAATTTCTAAACAGAAAATACAACTTTTTATGGGACTAATAGTTTCATGCATAAAGGCAATCATCGGCCATGTAATCAAGAAATTAAAAAAACGTTAAAATATGAAGTTTCAATGAAGTGTGCTCCATTGTCATAACAACAAACAACAGAAAGAAAAAAGAAAAAACTATAAACGGTTGCCTAATCATCCGAATCAAACTTTGAAAGAAGAAATTTGTTTTTGTGTCTACATTTAGAAACTAATTCAAGGTTGCAAGGTTTTACTGTGGGATTGTAAGATCTACAACGTTTTACAATTTTCCATTTAATTGTTGAGCTTATTCCACTTTCTTTTAACCTCCATATTTCCTTAGATAGTTCAGTGTCGTTGTTATATTTTTCGCTATTAAAAGATTTTATATGGTTAGTGTATGTAAGTTTCACTCACTCCAAAATACACTTTTTCATTTCCGTCCGGAGTGCCTGGGTATGAAGTGGCTTGATACACTATGTTATTTACAAGGCATTTTTGATTTCAAGGACACTTGCTTTTGATAATACAATTGCAATGCTTATTGGAATTAGAGGTGTTGTTTTTCATTATATGTTATATCATAATATGAGAGTTGAATATTGATTTGATGTTTGGCATAGAACTGTAACTCACCTTTAGAGTATTTCTATTAAAAATCTTGTGTTATTTATGGCCAGCTGGGAAGTGTCTATTAAACTCAAAAAGAGTTTACCAATTTTGGTAGAAACATTTTTACTATATTGGGGGTTAATCCAGATTATATTACGCTTCCGATTTTTTGATAGAGGTTGGATAAGTTTTGGAATATAGTTAAGTTTGAATTTGTAACCAGACTTTTTCAATGCATTTGGAATTTGGAAAAATATTTTGATTAGATGAATTAGATGACAGCCTTAATTGTATAGAACGAGGAAGTTGCTTTAAAATGCTAGGAGAGTGGTTAGATTCAACATGTATATAACTTAGTTCATCATTTGGTTTACAAAACGGTCTGAAAGATTGATCATTTAGGTTCAGTGTTACGTCAAGAAAGTTCACAGTTTTCATGTTACATTGTATAGAGATAGAAAGATTGTTATTTTTAAAAATTTGAATATGTTTTTTTATTGCATCCATGTGGTGGCGATTTGCATTTTTAAAAACTGCTAACCCATCGTCTCGGTATATGCCAAAATCTGTTTTATTATAATGCTGGGATAGTTGAAAAAGAAGAAAAATTCTGACAAGCTCACATCCTCTGCTCTGTCAAAAGCACCCAATGCAACATCAAACAAACCACTGTTCTTTTTAATCCAAGGTTGTCTTTATTAAACAACAATGATTTTCCGGCTTGTTTAATTATTAGTTTATCTTCATTTTTAATGGTTACATATTTCTCAGCAAATTTAATCACATTATTCAAAAGATTTTAATTGATAGAAGGATAAAAATTGTTAATGTCAAAAATTGAAAATTTATAAAAATGTTTGTTTTTAATACCTTTGAATCAATCTAAAACGTTTTGCGTGCTTTTCCATTGATTAAGGCTGAGAATATTTTTCAGCTCAGCAATGCATTAGATAAAATAAATTTACTGATTCTTCCTTCATTTTTTGCTAGATTTAAAAGAGGGACAGTAGATTTGTTTAAAAAATTTTCTTTATGATCTTTTAAAGTGATAAAGCAGTGGGATGGTGTGTTAATTTCTGTTAAAAACCTCATGATTTTTTAGCATAACTTTCCTCTCCATATTCAACAGGGCATTTATCTGTAACTCTGGTTTTTCATATATGTAGTAATTGATTTGGTGAGCAGTTTATTGCATTGGTCTTTAGATAATTGATGTAAATTCGATGTTTTATTGGCTTGTGTAAATGTTTTGTCCGACTTACATATTCTTTTGACATTTATGTTATTTAGTTTGTACTGAAAAGTGCTTTTTATTTTACGAAAATTTAAAGATTTAATAAGATTTAATTAATCATTTTCAAAAGTCTTTAACTAATATAAAAGTAATATAATATATTTTAATATAAAAATGACAAGTAATATAAAAACGACAGTAATATAATATATTTTAATATAAAAATGACACTGAATTATCTAAGGAAGTATGGAGGTTAAAAGAAAGTGGAGTAAGCTCGAAAATTGAATGGAAAATTGAAAAACGTTGTAGATCTTACAATCCCACAGTAAAATGTTGCAACCTTTATTTTATTATGTTTATTTGAAAAGTATCTCATAATATCTCACACCAATGATAACTGACTAAATAAGAGGAATGAATTAGTTTCTTTATGTAGACATAAAAGCAAATTTCTTCTTTCAAAGTTTGATTCAGGTGATTAGGCAGCCGTTTATAGTTTTTTCTTTTTTCTTTCTGTTGTTGGTTGTTATGACAATGGAGCACACTTCATTGTAACTTTATATTTCAACATTTTTTTATTTCTTGATTTTGTATTACATGGCCGATGATTGCCTCTAGGCATGAAACTATTAGTACCATAAAAAGTTGTATTTTCTTTGTTTACAAATTTATATATATATATATATATATATATATATATATATATATATATATATATATATATATATATATATATATATATATATATAATACTCTATAAAATAAATAAATAAATCCTATTTGTTTATTATTGAGCACTCTTATACGTACAAGAGTTTTTGTATTTTATTTACAAATACAAAATACCATTTTATATATATATATATATATATATATATATATATATATATATATATATATATATATATACATATATGTGTGTGTATACATATACATATATGTGTGTGTATATATATACATATATGTGTGTGTATATATATATACATATATGTGTGTGTATATATATATGTGTGTATATATATATATATATATATATATATATATATATATATATATATATATATATATATATATATATATATGTATATATATATTATGTATATATTATTTTTTAAGTAAAATTTTGTTTTACTTAGAAACAATTTATATGCCATGTTCTGGTTTTACTGGACTAAATTTAAAAGATCGTCTTACTTTGGAACAATGCCCCTGGTATCAAGGTCCTTCATTTTTAGAACACTTAGATCAATTACCTAGTTTTAAATGGCCATATGATGATCCAATAAAAGTTTTAGTAAGTGAGCGTTATAAAGACATGGGTACAATAGTTATTGGTAAAATTGAGTCAGGAATTATACGTAAAGGGGACACTTGTACTTTAATGCCAAATAAAAATTCTGTAAAAGTCATAGGTATAACAGGAGCAGATGAAATTGAAAAAAATATGTGTAAAGCTGGAGAGAATGTTAAACTAAAATTATCTGGCGTTGAGGAAGATGAAGTTGTTCCTGGTTTTGTTTTATGTCACCCAGATCATCTCTGTAATACTGCAAGAGTATTTGATGCACAAATAGTAGTGTTAGAACACAAATCTATCATATGTGCAGGTTACAAAGGAGTTCTTCATATTCATAATGCAGTTGAAGAAGTCATACTTGTTGTAAGTTTTTGAATACCTTTGTTTTATAATTTTAGAAAGTTTTTTTTTTTTTTTAATTATAGTTAATACAAGATATGATAGTTACTTGGTATTATACTATTGGTTTTGATATATATCTAATATGAGTATATAGGATTTATTTCTAATAATGTAGCATTTAATACTATAGGTGCTTATATTTTATATATTACAAAATTTTATTGTAATTGTGTGAACTATGTTAATTGATTATTGGTTATTTAGGAGAAGATTTTTAAGAAGCATATACTATATTATATTTTTGAAATTTTTATTACCTGATTTATATTTACATTTATTTTTGTAATTTAACAAATTATAAAATATTTTTTCCAATAAAAATTTATAATGACAACTGAATGAACAACTTTTAATGACTAACTTTTTTTGACTGACTTTTTTTCAGCATATATGTATGTTATAAAGAGAGAACACTTAAATAACTGTAAGAAACATCTATAAAGAAAGTATAAAAACATGATAGAATTCTAAAGCATTGATTTATAAGGAAAAAACTAAATGAATGAAAGGTTAGAGTATTATGAATAGTTGCAGTAAACAGATGCAAGATGAGTTAAATCATGCAAGGATTCAGATCATCTTGAAGAGGTAGATTTTAGTTAATAGTTGCGCAAGATAAAGATTAAATTAAAAAAACAAGTGATAATAATTTGCTTGGGCAGTGACAATGGTAGTAGTTGTAAAAAAAAAAATGCAACCTAAATGACAGTGGTAAAGATCCACATTTTAAATAGGTTTTTATTTCTTTTTAAAAAGGGAGAGGGCCTCATTAGAAGTACTAGGCCAAATATGACAACAAGGACACATTAGAGGTTTATAAGGGTAGAGATTGGAAATGAATCAAGAGAGTATGATAAGTACAAAGACAACCTTAGCCAATAACTTTGCATTTAATTGTATCTGTGGTTTTCATTAGAGGCCAATAGTGAATAATTTATAAAGGCATAAATCAGAGGACTAAGTAAGAGTGCTGCAATTCATCTATATAGGAATATCAAAAATTTTACAATAAATTTTAACAGTTACTGTTAGCAACATTTTTCAGCATTGAAAGTTTTTATTTAGGGCACACAGTTGTCTCATGGTGAACATATAACTTCTTGTTATTTTAAGAAAAAGTTTACAAAGAGAGGTGAGAGGGGTGCCACTAAAACTTTTATAACTTTTGAAATATTTGCGACTTTTGTTTTGTAAAATAATTAAAAACACTAATAAACTAATCTTATGAGATATAGATAAATAATCGAAACCTTGGAGTTTTGAATAAATGTGAAGGTAAATGAGATATATAAGTTCTTTAAAAAGATTTTTTGCGAAGCTCATTCATTTATTGCTTAAAAAAATAAAACCAGAGTTTATTTTTCCAATATTTAATTCTTTATATTTTTTTTTTGATGTTTATTACTTTTGCATATAACTCTGATAAATTGTACAGATATTATTAAATTAAAAGACTCACCAAGTTTAATAAGATTATTTAATAACCTAGGTTGAAGATAAGTTTTTGACTTCAAGTCAGTATTCACATATCTTTTTTTGGGAAGGAAGGAATTTTTACAGGAAGGAAGAAATGATGATATGAACATGCATAGTATAATTAATTTTAATTTGTTTAAAGCAAAACTACCCATTTTCACATGGTTACTTCTCCCTGCAATCAATTATTGTTAATATCTATTGTAGCCATAGCGCAGTGGTTAGCCCACTTGCCTCAGAAGCTAGAGATCCGTGGTTCAACACCACCTCTAGACAGATTTTATAGCATCGGTAAAGATGGAGGCAAGAACTTACTTTCAATTGCTCTTCCGAGGTGATCTGTGATAAGATTGTAAGATCTTCTTGGGGCACCTAAAGAAACTTAAAAAATTAAAAAGTTAAACACTAAATATTATTAGACAAAAACACTCTTATAATCAACAATTATTTCGTAATATTAATAAAACCATTGTTGGCGTGTACTACACTACATTCAAACAATTTTACTATTGTATTTTGTAATTAAACCTGGTGCTAACACATGCTTTTTTATTTTTTATTGGGAGAGTTTTGAAATATATTTTAATTCAGAGAAGTTATAGGTGTGTGACATTTTCATTCCATCATGTTTTGGAATACCAAGTTAATCCTTGGTGTTCTAGAACATGATGGAATGAAAATCTCTAACCACAACCATTTTTTTTTTTGTTTTAAATCTGACAACTAAATTCTTTTATATCATTGGCATATTGTTGACATTATTCGGTCAATTAGTAGCTCCTAATTCCTATTTAAAATGATTTTTTTTTTTTTTTTGCATGGAGTTTTATTTTAATGCTTTGTTTTATTAAGTTTGAAATTTGTGATTTTTTAGTGTGTTAACTTTAGATTTTATTCAACTCAAAATCAAATGGAAAAATAAGGCTTGTAAAACTGGATAACTCTTTTTGATTAAAAGTTCTAGATTGGACATTATTCAAAGTGAAAATATCGCAAATTTAGGGTCAACTTCTCAAGATTTTGGTAATTTGTTGATTTTATGAAGTCAGAATTGATCACCTTTATGAAGTCAGAATTGATCACCTTTATGAAGTCAGAATTGATCACCTTTATGAAGTCAGAATTGATCACCTTTATGAAGTCAGAATTGATCACCTTTATGAAGTCAGAATTGATCACCTTTATGAAGTCAGAATTGATCACCTTTATGAAGTCAGAATTGATCACCTTTATGAAGTCAGAATTGATCACCTTTATGAAGTCAGAATTGATCACCTTTATGAAGTCAGAATTGATCACCTTTATGAAGTCAGAATTGGATAAATTTGTGTTAGATTGGACTTAAACAAGGTCTTCAGTTGACAATCTTGATTGACTGAAAACTTTCAAGCACTTGGTTTTATTTAAGCTTAATATTATTTAAAATATATATATTTTTTTTTCCAGGTAAACAATAAAATTATACTTTAGAAAAGAAAATCTCAATATCCAATAAACAAAGATAAGATCTCTAAAAATACAAACAGGTTTTTTCAGAAAAAAAAAATGAATGTTTTGTTATCAATAAAAGAAAATGTTTAACTATTTTGAGAAGTATTAAGAGATGTTATTATAAATGATTTGATATTCTGAATAACCCTAAATCTTATAAGATGAAGACAACTATTTCAATGAAGATGAAGGCAACTATTTCAAATCTTGTCATTTAAGTTGCAGTTTTTTATATGTTGAACAACTGTTAAGATTTTTTTGATTTCAATGTATTTTAACGTATATATGATCAAAATACAACTGTATGTTGTAATCTTTAATTTCCATTATTCGAAACCCTTATTATGGACTTCTGGTTAATATTTTTTATAAATTACAAATATTATCAGATGCATGTACATAACTTGTTTGAAAAATTGTTTTAAAAGGATATCTATGCGTCAAGACAGGTTTTGTTTATTTTATAAAAAATGTTTTAAAGGTTATCTTTGAAAAGAAGTTGTAAACTTTCTGAAATTATTTATAGAGATTAACAAACATATAAGTTCCATATCATTTAAAAAAAAAAATTTAATATTTATAAAAAAATATTATGAAAATAAGTTTTCTAATATAAAAAATATAAAAATATAAAAAAACTTTTTGATGTTTCAGAGATTTCTTTTAAACATTTTTATAATTTTGTTTCCATTGAGTAAAAATATTGAATATCTTAAAACTTGTAACATGCATATAATTTTGTATTGTACAGTTGATTAGTGCAAATTAGTTAAATAAATTCAAAATTTTAGCTTCATATTCATTTAACTCCAAAGTAGAAACTGGTAAATGGCAAAGTCTTTTTAAAATACTCTTTACTTCATATTATCAAACTATCTTCAACTGTAAAAGATATTACTGGAAATCTTTTTCTTCACTTTTCGTTCTTCACTTACGATTAAAATAATTTTGTGATTGTTGTTCTTTTGGTGACACAGAGATTAAGGTTTTAGTTGTGAAAAATACTTAGTGTAGTTTTCATTAACTTGGTGAATTTCATAATCAGCTGTTTTGACTATTAAACTACTCTTTGTCAAGAAATTTATGTTAAACCAAATTTTTTAAAGTTGATAGGAAAACTTATAAAAGTTAATTTTATAATAACTTTTTTAATCACGTCGTTTTTTTTTTATTTTTAGGGTTTAATTCACACAATAGACAAGAAAACCGGAGAGAAAAGCGCACAACGACCAAGGTAACCAGCTAATCAATAATGGACTATTCAATAATGAATTAAAATCCATTTCTTTTTAAGTTCTGTTTAACTTTATATTGGTTTTGTATGACAGGTTCATTTTTGAACTTTATATTGGTTTTGTATGACAGGTTCATTTTTGAACTTTATATTGGTTTTGTATGACAGGTTCATTTTTGAACTTTATATTGGTTTTGTATGACAGGTTCGTTTTTGAACTTTTTTTTGGTTTTGTATGACAGGTTTATTAAACAAGATACGGTTGCTGTTGCTCGATTTAAAACTGCGAATCTCATTTGTATGGAAACATTTGCAAACTTTGCACCTATGGGACGTTTCACACTTCGCGATGAAGGTAAACTTTTTTTTTTTACTTTGCAACGTATTAATTTTTACTTAAATAGTTGTAAATTGGTAGAACGACGTCATATTGCAATAATTTTTTTATTTTTATGAGTTTATATAGAGTTATTAGTTAAACTTTCTTATTTTAACTTTTGTAGGTCGTACAGTCGCTATGGGTAAAGTGCTTTCTTTGCACCACAAGAAAGAAGAAACAGAAAGCGAAAATAAATAAGTCTTATATTTTTAAATGAATTGAAATCAAACAGTCTTTCGAATGTGCTGGTTTATTTTTAGGAAACAAAAACAGTGATTTCTGGTTACAACAAACCTAAAATAAAAATGTTCTATTTAGAGATTATCCGTAAATAGTTGTTATTAATTTTAATTAAATAATTTAATTATCCTTTCCTTCCAGTTTTGGTGTATTGATGCTTATTTTGGACTGTGATAGGATTAAGTTTGTACCTATTTGTGCCTTTTATATTTTGCGAAATTTATGAACGTTTTAAAAAACTTAAGCAAGTTCATTCTAATTGAATTTTGTTCGATAGTTAAGATAGTTTAGTAGTCAAAAAATAAGTCAGGCTTCTGCTAAACGAAAATAAGTGACTAAAAATAGATTCATTGAGATTATGCTGGGTCCATTTTTAAGATATATAAGAACAAGTAATGGATAGGATAATAACCAAGTAGCTTTCGTTTGACTAGATATCGATATCACAAGATATCGATTACATGCCTGTTTGTTATAAAATCAATTTTTGTTTTCAAATGATTGTTATTTTCTGGGGTGGTTTTGAAGCGAGTTGTAATAGAAATTTAATTAATTAGTTGATCTTTGCCATTAAAACAAAAAATTTACTTGATCATCAAATTTAAAATATATCAAGTAGAAAATGACGTAAAATAATTAACAAGAGAGAAACTAAGTAAACAAGTAGACCACTTTTAAGTGGTTGAATTTATTTGGAATAAATTTTATACTATATACTCAGGGCCGGCGCTAGTATTTTTTGGTTTTTGAGATAGCTAACTTCCAAACTCCAAGCATATATATATATTTATACTTATGTCAAATAAGGATGCTTTGCAAAAAATTGCAATAATTGGAGCTTGGAAACAACATAGCCCCAAAATTTTTGCCTAGTCTGCCCCAAACGTGAGAGCAACAAGTTGATAAATTATTTTTTGTACTATTTTCAACTAGACTAATATTCATCGATAAATTTTAAGTTTCATAGTAAAATACTTTAGCGTTCAAAAATTATGACTATATAATGTTTAAACCCCCCTCAATTTGAGGGGGTTGCAAATTTTATATTGTTATAATTTTTGAACACTAAGAAATTATACTATAAAACTTAAAATTTATCGATGAATATTAGTCTAGTTGAAAATAGTACAAAAAATATTTTATCAACTTGTTGCTCTCACGTTTGGAGCAGACTAGGCAAAAATTTTGGGGCTATGTTGTTTCCAAGCTCCAATTATCGCAAAGCATCCTTATTTGACTTAAGTATAAATATATATATGTTTGGAGTTTGCTCCATGTCTGGAAGTTAGCTATCTAAAAAACCAAAAAATACTAGCGCCGGCCCTGTATATACTATATATATATATATATTTTATTCTATATATATGTATTTTATACTATATATATGTATTTTATACTATATATATATATATATATATATATATATATATATATATATATATATATATATATATATATATATAAATCTGTATATAAAATATGTACAGATAGACGAATAAATATTAGATTCAAGAAATAATATTTTGTAAACAAACCGATAGTTCGGGATATTTATTTCAGCTTTAAGTTTTTCCGGATATCCAAAACATTTTCCATACATGCAAGTTGAGGTGCTTGAAGTGAAGTGAAGTGAATATTTGTGGTATATTCGTGTTTTAAGCTTATTCACTCATTCAAAAAAATTTGAGAAAAAATTAAACTAACTCAGCTAAATTAAAAGGAAAATAAGGAAAAACATATTTCTATTTTATCCGGATATTTTATCCAAACAATTTTCCGGATTTTGAAATATGTTTCGAATGACGTATGGAGTTACCTTAAGTGCGTTACCTAAGGTCAAGTATATTAACTATTTTCAATAAATTTAGCTTTATTTGATTAATTTAAACATTATTCGAATAATTACGTTAGCTTTTGGTACAGTTTTAAATAGCTTTTGGTACAGCTTTAAATAGCTTTTGGTACAACTTTACTAGACTAGCCTGCTGATTCTCCTGGTGTATCAGTTAAAATGATGAGTTTCAGGTGATGTGGGTGTAGAGTGAGGGCCACATGTCAGATGAGTTACATTTAAGTTAAATCTCAGATGATTGTAAAAAAATTAAATAAACTTATAAAAGGTGGAGAGGTACTAGAAATTGAAATGGATTTATCAATAAACCACAGTTTATTTTAAGAACATGGAAAGAAACAACAGATGCAATATTCATTTTAAGGTTAGTTTAAAAGACGTTTTTTGGAAAAGTAAAAAGATCAAAGGATGTATCAAATGTGACCATAGTGAGTGAGAGATGGTAATGATTGTATTATGTATTGATTTTGTCCTATATTTATTTTGTTTTGGTGAAATCAGATCTTTTTTTATTTACAATGTTAGAAAATTACTTGTTATATGTACAAATTTACAAGAAATAAATATTATCAAAGCTATAATACCTTTACAAGAACTATAAAGTTTTGAACTACCATGATTTTAACTTCACCACTGCAACCTAGTCTTACGAATTATAATTGGAAATAAAACAATTTACCTTCATAAAATCAATAAATTTAATAAAGAAAATAAATGAAAACATACCATATAGTTTGGAACTGTATTGCTTTCAACTTCTCCACTGAAACCTGGTCTTTCTAACTATAATTGGAAATAAAACAATTTACCTTCATAAAATCAATATATTTGATAAAGAAAATAAATGAAAGTATACCGTATAGTTTGAAACTTTCATCTTCATTGCTGCAACCTGGTCTTTCAAACTATAGTTAGAAATAAAACAATTTAACTTCAGAAAACAAGTAATTTTAATAAAAATGAAAAAATGTATACTATGTAGTTTTGAACTTTCAACTTTTATCACTGCATAACTTTCAACTTTATCACTGCATAACTTTCAACTTTATCACTGCAAGCATGTCTTTTAAACTATAATTGGAAATAAAACTATTTATCTTCATAAAAGAAATAATTCTAATAGCGAAAATCAAAAAAAGCATACCATGTTAAGGACAAAAAGAAGAACTAAAGAAAAACAAAACATCTATCCTTGATACATGTAGTTGGGTTATTGTTATATCTGGAAAAAAAAGTAAGCCAGCTAAGCAATCACCAGTTGAAAAACTGTCGGTTGCGCAATAGACTAAAATCAAGAACAGAGAGAACAATGTAATCATTTATGATGTGGAAGAACCTACAAAGGATGCCGGGGCTCAAAAAATTAAAGATGACAAGCTGAACATCCCAAACAAAATACAAAGATAATACAAAGTTAATAAGTCAGGCCAAAGATAGATAATGTACTGAGTTATTGCAATTAGATTTAAATAAAGCTGTTAAGTAGTCAAAGGTGTGGCTCGTCAAGTTTTAAACTGATAAATGTGTAATTTTAAGGTTTTTAAATATTTAAAATTTAGGTTTAAAAAATATTAAGTATGAATATTCTATGGATGGAAATCACTCAGAAAAACACTCAGAATCACTCAGAAAAACTGACTTCTGAAATCACTCAGAAAAACAAACATAGAAAGAGATCTTGGAGTTTTATATTGTTCAAACTTGAAATGGAAAGATCATATAATGGTGTGTACCTCAAAAGCAAATAGAATGATGGGGGTATGGAAAAATTCATTTTCTATAACTGAGGTACTTAGGTTATTTTATACAATATTATTGAATTTGCAGTGCCGGTTCAGTCTCTTTACTTCAAAGGTGAAATTAAAGCTTTTGAAAGAGTGAAACATCAACTATATTTCTCAAAGTTATGATATCACTATGATATCATACTGATATCATAGCTTGAGATGGTTGTGATATCACAATGATATCATAATGATATCATTATTTGATATCATAGCTTGAGAAAGTTTTGATATCATTTTTATATCACATTCATATCGCGTCTTGACTGGGAAGCAGCCTTACCTTTTCTAGGACCCGGCAAATTTTCAAGCCGGTCTTGAGTTTAAAGAAGGTGAAATGGACAATGTTTCGTACAGTTCATTGACGGATATTTCAAAATGTTGAGGTTTTAACTAGACGACTGATGTTGGACATAAGGTTTATGCTTCGGATAAGTTTTGTTGTTCATTAAAAAATTTGTTGGTTATTAAGTTGGTTAAAAGTTGATTTTTTTTTTTTTTTTGTATATATATAAATAATACTTATATGTATATTATTTTTGTATATACATAACTAATACTTTTACCTATATTAACAATAGTTTTTCAGTATATATATAGTTATATAAATTATTAATAATTGTTAAAAGCACACATACATACAAAACTAGTTTAGTGATCAAAAATTAATTCGAAAACAAACAAACAGATTCAGGTGTAAAACGCAACAGTAAAAAGAAAACTTGAAAGTTACAAGAAAAACTCTTAATGTTTAAAGTGTTTATGAAATATTAAAATAGAGTTAAAATCTTGAAAAAAAACAGTTTAATAGTATATAATATAAGCGCAAATGAACTCTTCGATTAGATAAATCTTTATTTATAGTATTGTTGTATATTTATATATAAATATATTTGAGTAATAAAAAAAACTATATATTTAGTCAGGGCCACCGAAAGGCAGGGGCAAAAGGGACATGCATGCCCTGGGCGCCAAGCTATTAGGGCGCCAGAAGACGAAAGACTTTAAAAAATTATAATGAGACTTTAAAAGAAATTTGACGAAAGACATGAAAAATCATAATGGGTTTTTATTAAAAAAAGTAAAAAAATTGTTTTTATGGATGAGGCCATGAAATTTACTTTGTGATGCGCATATTAATTTAGTTTGTTTGTTTATATTACCAAGTTTAAGTTTTAAATAATTAATTTCATTAACAAATTATTAAAGAAAAAGTTATTCAAAACTATAATTTTTTTTTTTTTTTTTTTCAATTTTTGTCAAGCAACCATTTACAATTAAAGATAATTTTCGTAAAATATTTAGAAATATTAAATACAAGTACATTTCATTATTTATAATAGTTACAAGACCGGAGAACCTGAAGAAGATAAAGTCTTTTCATCAGTAACCTTTGATAATAAAAATTGGAAATAATCGTGTATTGTTAGAAAAAATCATGTAAAGAATCGTGATT